ATTATTTTCGTATAAAAATATTGGAAAAAATAATGTAATTCAGAGAGAGAGAGAGAGAGAGAGAGAGAGAGAGAGAGAGAGAGAGAGAGGGAAAAAGGAAAAGAGAGCGAGAGAGTTATAATTTTTGAAATGATTCTTTTAATATGAATACTGTGAATTATTTTTTGAAATTGCGATGAGCGTAAACTTACACAATTTAATTTGTATTTATCATAGAATTTTTATAGAATTTTCCTCTGTTTAAAAGTTATTGAACAATTAACGATATATTTTAATATATAATTTAAAAAATATAAAAAATATAATTTAAAAAGTAATTAAAAAAGTCATAGACATTAAAAAAATTAAAATAGAGTAATTTAAGTATTGTGTATCAAGCTTATTATACAATATTAATTCATACAAATTTGAAAGAAAAATCTATGTTCTTATATTATTCTTTTTTCAAATTTTACAAGATTATATAATTTAAATGAAAAAACATGAGATGAGAAATTGGGAGAATATATTTCGTATTTTGTATTCCACTGATAAAGTGTAAGTAGGAATGGGACTTGGAATCTCGAAACCCTTTGAAATTTCAAATATTTCGTGTTATGTGAAGTTTAACAGCTTTTAATGTTTTTATGAATTAAAATTCTGAAAATTCAGATAAACAATAATCTATATAATTTACAAAATTGTAATGATATGAATTTAATTTTTTTATTTTTATATACACGAATTTATAATAATATAAATAAATCTGTGCTTAGATTTTAGACTTATTCTTAAATTGATAAACTTGAAAATTTCAACAAATTTCAACGATTCATTAAAATAATTTGGATAAAAAATTAAATGAAAAAATTATATTTTTTACAAAACGATAATTATTATTATTGTTTAGTCTGAGTTTAAAATATTTCAGATAAATTAAAATTTGTTACAATTTTAAATTGAATAAAATATTTCTTAAAAAAGAAAATGAAGGAAGAGAGTAAGAATTGGGATTCGAAAGTTTCATGATCTTATAAAGTTTCAAATTTAAGTTTCACAAATGTAAAAGTCCAATGTCTATCATTAACGATATATTTTACGTTTTATATTGCAATTCAAAGATGAATTCGAAAAGTTAAACGATATAACTTACAATAATGATTTATGAATGAAGAATTTTTTTAATAATTTATATAGGTAAAGTAATTGTATTATAATAATAGTATATTAAAATTATTAATACGAATTGGTTTGTTTATTAGAATTTATTAGATATTTTGTCCTTTGCTCTTTCATGAAACGATTCGTGATATGTATATAAGATCTTTCTATTTCGATAAGTAGAACTGAATTTATGTTTCGTGTAAACGCAACATTAACCTACGATTAAAATTTAATCGAAATTACTGCTTAAAATAATTTGACATGTTAGATAAATAATATATTTAATTCGTTATATATTAATTACTATGAATCTGTATATTAGTTGACTATAAAATATATACAATAAGAAATAAAGAGATATATATATTAGATAGTAGATATATATATTACATCTATGCAATTAATCAACTTTATTAAAATTAATATTTGACTCAAAATCAACATGTTTTTTTAATATACTTTAAACTTTACCGTATTTTAAAAATTAATTAATTTTGTATTTTAAAAAAATTAATTTTGTACTCTATGTATTAATATAGATTTATTTTTTTAAATCTAGAAACGCAAATTTATTATGCAGAATTTAAATCTGTTGTAATTTAATCTCTTAATCTGATTTAATTAAATCTGATTTAATTTAAAAATTAAAAAATTTCTTGAATTTAGATTTATAGGAAAATTTTTTCTCATAATTATGCATTTATTATTAGTTTTTTAAAATAATTAAACTTAACTTTGATTAAAGTGTGTTAAGATGTGAACTTTATTTAATGTAATTTTTTTTCTCATAATCATATATTTTTTTTAAACGAATTAGTTATATAAAAAATACGTATGTGCTAGAGAACGAAATCGTATATATGATAATGTATGTCACAAACAAGATGTACAAGTCATGGAAGATGTACTGTTATCTTTTGCCACACACGCGCCAACACACATTTTATCGTAACTGGTTAGTGGAGACATACATGGCATTACAATTCCTTTTTGAAAGTGGGAATTGAACGTGCTAAGATGATAATATCTTTTATTTTCTTTATAGAAAATTATAAATTTAGTACAAACAGTATATATTATATATATTGTATAATTTAATATAATATAAACTTTTATATTGTTAAATATAATCATAATTATTTTTATTTTATATTCATAATATATTTATTTTATAAATGTAGTAGAAAATGATTTACAATTGACATAAATATGACAAATTTTGTATAAAAACTAATATATTCAAACTATTTTATTCGATAGATTTTGTCTAGCATTCAATATTTTTATGAAAAAAGAAATTTAATCAAATTAATCCATAATTATCGTATTTATAAAATTAATTACACTCGTTACCATTTAATTTATATTATCAATGTATCAATTTTTTCGACAAGACGATTCATATTTCCCGCATTTTATTGTCTATGTTTCGCCATTGATTATACCATTAATGATCAACAAGTAATATTATCATTGAAACAGATATTTTATTCGAAATAAATATATTAAGTAGTGATGGGATTAATTCAATTGATAATTTAAATTTTTTAAGTATATATCAATTTTTTGGAGGAATATAAGAGATAATATAAGAAATAATAAGAGATAATAATATAATAGATCTTGTGAAATGTGAAATAAAGATTAAGTTAAAAACATATTTGTAATAAAAATACATCAATGTATAATACAGTATTGTAAAATAAATATGATATTAAATAATATATAACAATAATAATGATAATGAAGAAACACAAAATAAAATACTATATAATATTACTAATGTTTATAATTTTTTTTACGATACCAAAATAATTAATATTTATTTAAATAAAAAACATTTTACAATTCCTTAATGATCGTCATCCATAGAATTTAAAATTTAGAATTTATATTGAAAATGAAAAATAAATATTTTAGTAAGTAAATTTTAGTTTTATAATTCTTATATTGAAAATTAAACGAAAAATTATAATTTGTATTATAGTAGTATTAGTTTGTAGTTTAGTTATACTATTATAATATAAAGTTATATAAATTAACATTAATAAATATTGACATTTCTCATTTTTGTATACTTAAAATCGATATTAATATCTGTTTCAATATGAAATAAATATTTTTATTTATTATACACACACGTATTAGCACACATACTTATATATACACACATCGATAATACAAAAATAATACGAAATAAACACGATAACCGATAGTAGTATGACAGGTTAGAATACACAAACCGACAATATTTCTATGTAATCTCGAACATCAATTGAACTTAACAAATATGACTATCAATATTATCAATAACACTAACGTTCATATCCAGAACAATAAATTATCTTACAAAATTTGAAAGAGTGTCGTTCCCATCGCTAACTGCGAGCGCACGCGAGAACGCATGAACGCAGGCCAGCCATTCGGTAGCAAGCGCGCGCGCGAGCGTACAGTGAAAACGTAAACATGGCCGCGGAGAGTAGCGAAGGTTTGCCAATATCTCCGTCCGAGAAATCGTTAACCGGTAGCTTAGTGTCCGAGGAGAATGAGAAAAGTGTATCGCGATCGCCGTCGACTTACTCGATACGGGAGGACAAGTGGCCGGATCTAGTGGTATCGAGGCCTAGAAAACTGGACGCTTGGTGGTTACCGAGACGTAAGTACTACATAGCACGATACACAGGTGCATGTTTTCGATCCGCTTTCGGCGCGCGTTTTAAAGTCGGCAGTTTCGGCTACGTCGATACAAAGTGCGCGTGATTCAACGTCGCTCAACCATGTGTGTATATATATATATATATATATATATATATACACACGTGTATAACGTAGTATACACGCACTTAGCGCTCACACGCCGGTATTCTCGTTTCTTTATCGAGATACGCCTACTTCATTAGGGTTAACTATATGTCACGTGACCGTCAATGGTAACGTTACACGTGTTAGATATGACTCAAGAAATGAGAAATTGTATTTATTTTTGTTATGATCGTGTAACATTACAGTAATTATTTTATGGTTATATGGTTTCAATTGGCGGTAATGATAAAAAAAAAATTAATTAAAAATTAATTAGAGGAAAAAAAAAATTCGTTATTTTAACTCGTTATGGAATTTAAGGCATTAATTCTAGTTTTCGTGAAAATATATAATATATGAATTTATTTAAGATTTATTTAAGATTATTTATATTTAAATTTTAAAAATTTGAATCAAATAATCTCAGAAATTATTCAAAGTAAAAATAATGTTTAATTTATATATATAAAATTTTAATGCTTTTAATACCACGATAATGATATAAAGTATTGAATATAATGTAAAGAAACGATTAAACGATTTTATTTTTTTCAAAATACATTAATGCAATAGAACATTTACAGATAATACATATTTATCTTGTATTATTATTTGCATTAAATGATCTTTGACATTGAGCAAATATATTTTAAATCTCGAATTTATATCATAATAAAAAATCTCAAAAATTATTCATGAAGATAAAATTAACTCAAATAATCATTATATATTTTCTTTAACTTAAATTTCATGGAATTATGAATTCATGGAATTTCATTTTGAAAATATGATTAATATTTCACAACTAAAAAATTGTGAAATAAAAATGAAATAATATTTTAATTAAGATGTACGATACAAAATTTTAATTTAATTTCCGTTATATAAATATCTTTTTTTTATCAAATACTGTTTTATCGACAAAATAGAAAACGAAGCAAAATAGATGGCAGCACCTCCCGGCCAGCTACTCGACTATGTGTATTGATTATCGTAGGTGGAGGTAAAGTCGGCGGGAAAATCAATATTACTTTACGCCGGCGACACACCATTTTCGTCGTAAAAATTTTCGCGAGCAATCGACACACTTCATACGCGATTTTCCTCGGCAGTGAATCAGTCTCTTCCACGTTAAACTCTTAAGAAGCCAATTGACACGAAGTTACAGCTACAATGTAGCTCTAAAACCGAAACGCGAACGCGATTGTTTTTTCCGCTTCAGCAAAGATTTCTTTTCACCGCTTTTACCGCAGTGTCTATATTTCATTTTCTCCATAACACGAATTTAACACTTAACAATTTTAACGATACCCGTATCGAACGAATATCGCGAATTACTTCTTAAAACTTCTTAAAAACAATTGCTATTCGTGTAAATATAAAACAGTGGTCAATAATTAAATACATAATCATCATTATTCGATATACCAACCAAAATTACCAATGAAACACGTCGAGTCAGCTGATTGAAATTCTCAAGAGCAACCAAAACCAACACCTCTACCAAGAAATAATCAAATTGGGACATCGTAGTGGCAAGAAAGACGATATCGAGATAAAGTAATCAAACAACTCCGATCACAGAACTCGAATCAAAATATTATTATTCTTTTCCGAGAGAAATCGAATATTTTTTGGAAAGTTATATAAAAAAGGGAAAAAAAGAAACGTTCGCTGGGGGCGATCGATAACGAGAAGAGACCAGTTCCAGTTAACCCAAACACAAGTACTCCGTGTGCGGAGCTTAAAGGGACCCATTGTTACGATTTCTTCTATGCGGCAAGAATCCCAGAACGGTCTGAAGATCAGACCAGCGGGTGACCACGGTGTGCATCACGGTGGTGTCATGCTTGAGGAAGACATGGCTGGCGCCCAGGATACTATATACCTGTGCAACTTCCGTGTGTCGGTGGACGGCGAGTGGCTGTGCCTGAAAGAGCTTCAGGATGTCGAGTTCTCGTTGCACGACTCGATTCAACGATCCCCCTCACCACCGCTTGCGCTAAGTGGTATTAATCATCATCATCATCATCATCATAATGATCATCATCGCCAGCAACAGCTTCCCGAACAGCGAGAGCTTCGCGATATAATGCCGTCAAGCCCACCGCCATTGCAGCACGTTTCCAGCTTGTGTCTGTACTCGATGTTCTTGCACTACTCGCTTCATCTCACTTCTTCCTCGACCCGTTTATTTTTTTGAAACAACGATTTATTATTGCACCAGTCTGTGTCGGTAAAAATTCATGGACATGGACGAGCTCAAGTTTTCAAGCTTTGATTGTTCTATTTTCTTTTTTTTAGTTGTGGTTGTGGTTTTCGTTTACGATACGAGATCAAGTTTTTTTTTTTTTTTTCGGGGGAAATTTATTCCGGCTCAATTATTTCTCGTAATTAATAAGATGTGGAATTTAATTCAGATTAAATTCGATAATTTCTAAATTATTCGACATTTTAAATGCGCAAAAAGATCATTATGGATGGCAGATGTTTATGGATAATAGAAATCTTTAATTTAATTTTCATTCAAGTTCCACTTTTTCCAATTTAATAATCTTCAATAAGAAATTCTGAGATTGAGAATTTATAGGATATTTATATATATTATTCGAGAAGTTTTGTTCTTTAATTTTATTAAACTGGAATCAATTTCCTTCGATGTAAGATCATTATCTTATCTTATCTATTCTTTTTTCTTTTCTTCTCTTTCACTTCGCGATTTCTAAAATCCATAATTCTAATCTCTAACTATTTCTGTAACAGAAAATCTTTTTTTTCTCTTTATTAGCGCAACTTTTTCTTAATTAATAATATTTTTTCGTTGCGCTTCGCCGATACTCGCATCATCATATCATCATTTTCATGCACTTTCCAGAAGAACATTTTATTTTATTTATTTATTTATTTTTTATTTAAATTTTCATCGACGAGAATACGGATGAAATCAACGATTATTACCAATGAATATGAAGATATATATATATATATACGTATATACATATTCTTTGCCGATTCGAATTGGAACAAGAACACTGTTGTTTTTGCAGCACGAGATCCAGTCATCATCGAGAGGAGTAACCTCGTTAATATCTCGAAATTAATCGTGAAGGAGCTGATCGAAACGTCTTTGAAGTATGGTCGAATGCTCGACTCTGATCATATGCCATTGCAACATTTCTTCATCGTTCTTGAACACGTGCTTAGGCATGGTTTGCGACCAAAGAAGGTAAACATTACCTTCGAATTATATTGAAAAGGGAAATTGGCGCTAATTGCCTTCGATTTCAGGGTCTCCTTGGACCCAAGAAGGAGCTTTGGGATATTCTACAACTCGTTGAGAAATATTGCCCCGAAGCGCAGGACATTACGTCCAGTATTCGTGATCTACCTACTGTTAGGTATAATGCGATTTCCGTCTTTATTCTCCATCCAAAAATTACCAATTCTTAAATTCGTAAATATTTCAATATATCCTTCCTTTCCTAATATAAATCTTACCTAAAAAAAAAATGAAAAATCACTTCTTGCAGAGATTTCTCAATGATGAAATAATTTTAAAATTAATTTTCTCCCATATAAAAGTTTTAATATAAAAATCTCCTTGATTTTCTTTTTTTTTTTTTTTTNTTTTTTTTTTTTTTTTTTTTTGGAAAAAAGAAAAAATTAAATCATTAAGTGCAATGTCAAACGGGTCTTGTTGACCGAATTGACCTTTCCAGGACCGCCATGGGTAGGGCGAGAGCATGGTTGCGTATGGCGTTAATGCAGAAAAAGTTGGCGGATTACTTAAAAGTTTTGATCGATCACAAAGAGGACATACTGTCCGAGTATTTCGAGCCTGATGCTCTGATGATGAGCGAGGAGGCGATCGTTATAATGGGCCTGTTGGTGGGTTTGAACGTGATCGATTGCAATTTCTGCGTAAAGGTCAGTTTACTCCACTCTGTTCCGCGCAAACTGTTCAAAAACAAGAACGTATAGAATTGAATGTTGCGACAGGAGGAAGACCTCGATTGTCAACAAGGGGTGATCGATTTTTCATTGTATCTGCGGAACAGCAATCATATACCTGGTGAATCCCCAGACGACGAGCTGGAGAATGACAACATGACCACCGTGCTCGATCAGAAAAATTACATCGAGGAGCTGAACCGACACTTGAAGTAACTATATATCCGCATATATGTATACACACACACATACACACACGATATATACGCCGATGATTCGAAGCCTTTGTATCATCATCGATTTCAGCGCGACTGTGACCAACCTTCAAGCTAAAGTGGAATCATTGACAACGACGAACGCTCTCATGAAGGAGGATCTCTCTATCGCTAAAAATAATATATTGTCCCTTCACGAGGAGAATAGACAATTGAAGAAAGAGTTGGGAATCGAGATCAAAGACACGAACGAGGTACGATCGTTTGGTTTTGATCATCTCTCGTTTCTATCACGTTCTTCTTGCTTTTTCTTTCCTTTTTTTTTTTTTTTTTTTTTTTTTTTTTTGTAATAAATGATCAGATTGACAGTTGGTCAAAAGGGTTTCTCTGGTTTCAGAACGGGAAACCACCGATCAAAATCACTGAAACGACCACGGAAATCGAGGAGTTGAGAAGTAGATTAGAGGCTGAAAAGAAAATGCGGCAGGATGTAGAGAAGGAATTAGAGTTGCAGGTGGATGGGGCCATATCTTTATCTTTATATAATATAAAAATGGATCCCTATTATACATATTTACATCCCTTATCGTTGGAAATTATTATTAATAATTTTATCGGCGGAAGGAAATGACTTTTTAATTCTTTTCTGAGCAGATGAGCATGAAGTCGGAAATGGAAGTGGCTATGAAACTGTTGGAGAAAGATATTCACGAGAAACAAGACACGATTATATCGTTACGGCGACAACTCGATGAGATCAAATTAATTAACTTGGAAATGTATAAAAAGCTACAGGTGATCATCAGTATACCTTTTCACCCGTTAATCGCGACGAAGGATGCTTCATAATGCGATCGACATCCTTCTCTTCGTTTCAATTATCATATATATATATGTTCAATGTCTTTTTCTCTTATACAAAAGAAGAATTATATATTTTGTCGACGATCGATCACGAGGCATATCCTCGTCGCGATTATTAACTTACACTTTCTAACTTGTGTTTCTTCTAATTTATGTGTTCTTCCAATCGCACTTGGATTTTGCGCTCTTCCCTTTCCACTTCTGCTTTTAATATCCAGCTTTTCAGATTTTAGCCAAGTTTGATATACCACTCAGACAGTTTATGCTTCCCCTTTGTCAAGCTGGGGGTCGGGGGTGGCTTTCGAAATTCCTTGTTTCTGGGAATATTTCCATTATAGGAATGTGAGCACGAACTAACGCAGAAAGGGGAAATGGTGAGCCGGCTGCACGCGAAGACGAATCAAATAGGGAAGATCCTGAATAATCTCGAGAAGTGCAACCACATGAAAAAGGAGGTGGAGAATATTCGTAGCCCGACGACACCGAGCAGTGTATCGAAATCGATTCTAAATAAGACCAGTCCCACCTCGCCCAGATGTTACACGTCCGCTGACAATGCGGTCGATTATCAACAACATCCCCAGTCCAATAATCAGCAACAATCGGCTAACAATCTACAAAAGTCGACTAATAACCAGCAGCAAATATCATCATCCATTAACCATAATCACCAACAATCCAATAACGTTCAACAAAAGTCTGTCGTTAAGCAATTAGATTCCCCTAATAATAACAAACAAACGAGGGTAGACGCTCAACAAAATGGCGCCAAGTGCAAGGGTACGGCGAAGCCTGATAAAAGAGAGCAGAGTAACGGTGAGGTTTCCGTGGGGGAATCCGGAGAGGAACGATCAACCGCATAAAATAAACATTGTCTTTCTAGAGAAATGGTTTTTATACTATGCATCTTCTATCACTACGTTTAATATTTCGAGCAATCGAAAGCGTAATCGAAAGACAGTTAATTCTTTATACGAAAGGTGTTCCTGATATGACCAATGACATTTTGAAAAGTGTCCATGTGTATAATATTATATTAACATTATAAGTTTATATTATGTAATATTATTTTAAATTTTTCTTTCTAAGATGTTTATCGTAATAATATTTATATACTTTTAATTATTATAGCAGCTTTTTAAACAAGTTGAGTTAACAGAAAGAGCTTAAATGTTATTTAAGTCGGTGGATATATATATATAATTGTATAGTGTAAATGCAATCGAAGCCTAAATGCATAACTGTTTGACATGAGAAAAAAAAATTAACGTTTATGGACTCTATGGTTGTTATCGATTAATCGTTAAAATGTTGTTGGATCATTCAGAAGCACTGCTATTATATATTTAACACTATATCAAAATATCACTTAGACCTTTCACAGGACAGAACTTTATATATATATATATATATCTAAAACGCGTAGAATATTTAACGAGGATTTAAAACGAAATATCCGATAATTAATTATTTAGCATTATTCATGCATCAATAGGCTTTCAATACAGCATTCATCGTGGTGTGTTTCGATCGAGACACTCTATGGAATTAACTGTGCTCTGTTAACGGCATAGTTACGCTGTTTAATAATAAAATTGCTATTATCTGCATGGAACTACTACCGAGGACAATAATGTTAATAGATATATATTTCTTTTTTCATTATCTTCGCAATTGGTTTCCGTTTTATCTTCCATTATATTCTGATTATTATTACTCTATTATCATTGTAGAGTGTCTCGCACATGTGTTTTCAATCTAAAGGGGACGTATATTTATATTTTGATTGAAATGTTAATTATCTTGTCACATTGGTAGCATTGTATCTTCCTAATAGACAATTTATTATTGAATATTTAACAGAAGAGATTTAATTTTTTGAGAGAAATACAGTAGTGCCAAGTTTTAGTAGTATCCAAACTTTAACAAATCTCATCTCCATCAATTCTTTAAGGTGTGATCTTGAAGATTTAAATCATGCTGGAAATTTAACTTAGATTCTTCCTCAAACTCACATTCATTTCCTCCACTTCCAAACTTCTAAAGTTGGTACTACTGCAAATGATCTACCACCTGACAAATGATTAATATTCGTTCAAGGAGATTGAAAATTCATTTTTCAATGCATGATTTTTCAGTTATGTTCGGAATTCTTTTCTTTTCTTTTTTTTTTTTCAAAGGAATTCTTTTCTTTAAATCGTGAGTTTGCAGCTGCAAAACATTTACATCTCTATAGAATTGTGTGCGAATTTCAGGGTTGTTCCTTTAAGTAGTGAGATAGAACGAAACGATTCTTTTACTGAAACATAGTTTATTTCAGGAGTGCGAAGGCTCGCTTAAGCATAAAACAGAACTGATCACTAAATTGGAGGCTAAGACGCTATCGATGACTGAGACCATCCAGAAAATGGATGAGAAGTATGTTTAATTTTGTCTTTCATTAGTGTTAATTAATTTGTAAGCACTTGACTGATTCGGTATTCTAGATTATACGTTACAGTTCGAGCTAATTTATTAAAGTCAATAATAAAAACGTTCTATCGCGTAGAATTTATGTCGTTTTCTGGTTACATATCGTGAGTTTCGCCGCTTCACGTCATGGTTGTAAAATTTTGTTTTTGTCACGTTGAAATGTTCGCGTAGCATCGAATCATCAATGCGATTAACTAACGAGAAGTCTTTGGTATTACGAATCATGGTTTCGATAATTTGATGAAAAAAATTAAATTTGATTAAAATATCAGACAATTTTTCTCCCTATAAAATTTATTTAAAATGTTGTTCTAGTTGAAACAAATATATTAATATATTGTTGAAGTATTAATCCTTAAATATATGGCTACTTTTAAATATAATAATATAACTTTTAAATTGCAAATTTATAAAGATACAGAAGATACTAATTTGAAAAGTTCATATTATTTTTGAGTTTATTATATATGAATTCATGAAAAAATTGTACTATACTAAAATGATTTTGATATTACTTTTACTATTTGATATACTTTTTACTATTTGATTTACTATTTATAATATATTATAATTGTGTCTTATAATTATCCAATAAAAGTATCAATATATATTGCCAAATAATATTTAAGGGTTAATATTATACCCTAGAAAGTTAGAAATTTTTATTATTTAATAACGAAAGAAGATTGTCTAATTTAAAAAATTTCTCCATGATGTAAAAAAAACATTTCAAATACCAAAGTCTTTCTTATATCATTCCATCTTCTAATACTTCTAATTTGACAAAAAATCTCTCACTGCTCTTCATTTATCCCGGAGGAGGAACGTTATTGATAACAAACGACAAACGAAAAAAGAAAAAAAAAGAAAAAGAATAAAAGAAATAAAAAAGAGAAGAAGAACTTACTAAAATATTATCTTTATTATCGTCAATCGTTTTTAGCGATTTACATACAAAAAAAAAAAAAAAAAAAAAAAGAAACTTAGTCGTTGTGATAACAAATTTTCTATAACTCGTCGATTTGTTCGACGATCATTGTGTGACAACGTCGAGAAACGATGAATAATATACGCTCGAAGGCTGTAGAATTAGAGGTGATTTATTTTTTACGTAGGCGTCTCGCGAACGCGATCTGACTTAGAGTAGATTAGCCAAGGCAAACATAGTATAGATTATCGTTAACGGGGATGTTGGCAAACCTTCACTCAAAGGCTACTCGATTTAAGATTATTAATTCTATACATATATATATATATTAATAATATATATATATTATTTATATACAAGGCAATTTCAGAAATGGATAACCAAACTTTCTTACTGTATTATTATTCCTAAGGATGGAGAAAGGAAATTTTATTACAAAATACTAAAAAAATTACTACTTTTTCCTATATAGAAGAATAAATATCTATCTAACGTGATCAAGATATTTGTAATATTTCTCGATAAATTAGATTTTATCTAAATCTTTGATTCGAGTACGAATAAAAATTTTCATATATTGTACACGATCTTTTTTTCGTATTTAAGGAGAATAAAAAAAAAAATTTGGTTGTTTATTTCTGAAGCAGGCTTATATATAATACACATTATATATAAATATTAATGTTATTCATGTTTCCCGCAATAATTGGTAGATTTATACCTAAATATATAATTAAAAATAATATAATGCTATCGGAGAGGGGATAGCGCATAGAGACGTGTTGATCTTTCGTATCGTTGATCTTGCCTTGCTCGTGCGCGAAATATAACTTCTTTTGTCTTAATTAATGCTCGTCGATCGAAATATTTGATGAAATCTGATGGTATCTGGTCAATTAGAATAACGTATCAGGATGATGATACCACAGGATGAATTTACACAGGGACTGGCTTGCGATCATTTTTATTCTTTTACTCTTTTAGCATTAATTATCTGCTTATTATTTCTCTTCGACAATTATATTTGCTTTTATATCGATCAAATTGTTTCTCGATCGTGTATATGTATATAATATATATCCTTCGTCGTTATATACACAGACACACGTTATGTACACATGTTTGTGTCGTTCACGTTCATCGAGACACATACGAAGCAAACGTGCCATATACCAACACTAATCTTTATATAAATATAATTATGTATAAGCATCGAGCAATGGTTCTTTATAATGCACCGAGACACTTGTGTGCTTGTATATCAATTCAGCGGAAAATAAATTCATGACAGAAGATAGTCTTTTTTTACCATTTAATTACCCTCAAGATCATCATCTGTCGGATATAATAAGGCGATGTAAGGATGCTGAAACATGCAGATGGTTCGACTCAATCGAATGGCTTATATTAATTGCTTATTATATTTAATATATTCAGTTAGAATATCTTTACAAAAGGTTGCGTAAAGAGATAAAACATACAAAAAATTAATATACAATAAGAATATCGATCTTTCGTTTTAATTTCTAGAATCAATCTTTCAAAAATGTTCCACGAATATATTAATTATATATATCTCTTCCACAATGATGGAAATTATATTCCTCGAATTTATATTAGATTTAATAAATAAACTTTAATAAAAGATTTTTCCATCGTTTAGTATATATATATATATGCATTTAATCTTTTGTTAGAATATTATCATTAATAATTGGATCTCGTTCTCCGTATGATGAATAAAGTTCCAGTTTTAGTTTAGAGATTTATTAATTTAAATCGCTTGAGTCGAAAGTGTAACATGTTTTCTTTGTGCTCCTAGTTGTAGAAAGTTGGTTACAAAGTTACAAAGGATGTGTATACATACATAGTTCAAATTGTTTTTTTTATTTTTTATTGAATCTCGCTCGCAAGTTTTGTTCGCTTTCGCAGATACGAAAGAAAAGAGATTATTATTTTTTTTTTTTTTTCTTTCGAGATAGAGATATCGAGAAAAAGGTAAGTCGGGTAAAGATTGAATCGGAGGGGAAAAATATATAGTAGAAGTAGAAGTAGTAGTGGTAGTAGTAGAGATCTCGTGCATTTTGTTAAATTTGCTCGGGGATAGCAGCATAAAGCCGTTAAAAAAACAACCTGCCTATTTCTTCGGCCGGATGAAGGTATTCGGTCATGAATAATCATGACTTGAAAGTTTCAACGAGAAGACCTCGAACTAAGTTACAGATCTTTGCTTTTGTAACTTCCTTTCCCGCTTCGGGGCTTATCATTTCTGTAAACTCGAAACTGTTCACGCCGGTTGAAAACAGCCAAATGAATTTTGTTTAAACGTGGATGGCTGCTGCCCTGTATCGGTTATTAAAATAATAATTTATCGCTTCTTGCATCGCTTCCTCCCGGGATAATCTCTCGAAATAACATAACGGGGAATTCTGCGAGGCTTTCATTATTCTTGTAGCCGAATTATATTCCCTTATCGTTTAATTAATAACTAGGTTACGTAAATAATGTCGCCATTAAATGATCGCAAGACAGTTCCTTCAATATGGATTCTTTTATAAAAAGAGATCGTTTCTTCCATTAAAAATAATTCGTTATACATATCGTGCAACCTCTTCGTTCTCATTATTTCATCTTTTCATCATTGAATCAGATTTATCCCTTATTTTTTAATAAAGCAATTTTACAAACGTCGATCAAATTTAAATTTACTTTCAAAGATCGATATCTTTCTCTTCAAACTTTAACAGTCTAAGCAGATATCACTTTAAAATACTTTTCTTTGCTCTTTATTAAAGATTTCTCTTTTCTCTTAAATCTTTTACCACGAGATTAATCTACCTTTTTCTGTCAAATAATTTCAAATTTATATTTCTTTTATTATTATATTTCTTATATTTCTTTAACTTGCCCCGTTATATATTTTTTAATTATCACAAAGATAACATCATCTCTGAGCATCAGCCTTCGCGCGTGCGTAAATTTTCGCGTTCCTCGAAAATTGTTTTTGTATCTCGTACGAAGAGAGGAGGGCGAGTGCACAGCACACGATGTTTTGAGTGTCAGCTATTTGACTTAATCAGGTGCAAGGAAATCGACGACGTGAAATCAGGAGCGGTGGAGAGGGTGAAGATTTTGGGCGCCGAGGCTGCCGAGAGGGAGGCGAGGGCGAATGGGGTCGAGAGGGAATTGCGACTCGAACGAGAATGGCGGACCTCCTTGCAGGAAGCATCGATCTCTAACGCGGAGAAGATCTCTCAATTACATCAGGAAATCGATCAGTTGAGGCGGGTGTCCGAGGTACGTTGTATGTATCAACTTCGCCAAATATCGACATTCAAATTTGATGGCCGAAAGAATGTCGATCTCATCGCAAATACATTTTCTGTTTGTCGAATTTTAATTTTGTTAGAACTGTGAATGCACGTGTATCAAAGTAATATTATACGTGCGTGATTAGAATTAATTAGTGGAATTATTAGAATTATGGAAGTATGGAGATTTTGAAATAGAGAAAAATTGATAGGAATAACAAGTTTTTGTTTTTTTTTTGCCAAAGAATTGAGATTTTTCTTGATTCGATATCGAGATAAGGTCAACGTGAAATATACTCATTTTTAGATTTTTTTTTTTTTTGATTGATTTGAAGTTCAATATCTGACGTATCTCAATGTCCAAGTTGAATTAAAATGGGATATAATCATGTTTCTGAAAAGAATCAATATTAATTTTTTGAAAAGTAGCATAAAATCGATATATTTTTTGGTAATTGTATAAATGAAAAAAATCTAAAATCAATTAACTCGATTGGTTTAACAGTTCTAGTGTTAATGATAAAAAAATATGGAAAAAATTGGTTTTTAATATTAAAAGAATTAAAAGTAATTTTGCAAGTTCTCTTTGATAGATATTTTATTATTAAGATGAGAACAGAATTATTTTTTAAAATATTAACGTTCAACTGACTCACTGACATTCTTTACAAAATAAATGAAATACTGTTGCTAGCTTTTTAAAGGGAATTGACTTCTATTTTCTTTTTTTCAATAAAATAATCTATAAATGATATAGTATTTTATATTGCTACTTTTATTGCGAAAGTAACATTGTACCATCGAATCATATTTTAATAATTAATTTGAAAGATTATTAATAAATTTCATATACTTTTTTTTTAAATTCGTTGATATATTGATATAAATTCGTTGATATATATTCTCTTTAAAAATCTCAAGTTTTAAATCTCTGCATGGAACTTCAAATATTGAAAGATATCTTAGGATATCTTAGATTATTAAAAAATTCCAAACAGAATATTTTTGATCAGGAAGAACAAAATGAATCAACATCAGTCAAAATAATGCAGAAAAGAGAAATAAAAATAATTTTATTCTAAAAGAATATCAGATTGTAAAACATTCATGAATCCAATATTCTCACAGATTGGTCATCTATAGAATATCTTTAATTTTTTTCTGAAATATTACATTATCTATATATCTTTCTATCTTCAAATTTTTCTTCAAATCCAAAAGAACACACAATATCGCACACAATATAAAACAATATATTCATAAATCTATTATTCTCATCTATAGAAGAATTTCATCAATTTCATCATTTTCAACCATCTATTTTACACTTTCTTACTTTCAAACTAATTTATTTCGTATCCCCCCCTCCCAAAAAAAAACAGAGAATATCACAGTATAAAATAAAAAAACATTCATGCTCAATTATTATCTTTGGTTCCTTATAAAAACTTTATATTTTAAATATTTTCAAAACACCTTCAACCGTCCATTTTCTTCCACAATACTACTACATTACCCACCTTCCCCGATCGATTTTTCACCCCTCTCCCCTCTCCCCCCTATCCCCACGTCTCTATCAATCTCCCCAAACTTCTCCACTCCCTCCAATCGAATCTTTCGCCTAACAGCCGGCGACAGCTCGACTAACAATCGGTGTCCAGGCCCAGAGAGAAAGAGAGAGAGAGAGAGACAGAGAGAGGCGTCTGGAGGCAAAGTTTCCAAGAAACTGCGTGTAATTCCGGACATCTCCCCCCTCGCGTGTGTTACAGAAATACCTGGCCCTGCAGGAGGAGCATTACGCGCTGAGGGAGATCTGCACCGAGCAGGAGAGAACTCTGGAGGAACTTGGGGGACAATTGAGCGTCGCGAAATTGGCGGCCGTCGAATTAAGGGAGGCCGCTGACAACGCTCAACAGCACCACCAGCACCACCAGCACCAGCAGCAGGAGGGCGCGGCGACCTGGGCCAACGATCGGCTGGTCACCCACTGCAAGAGCTGCAACCGTGAGTTCAACATCACTCGTCGCAAGGTAATCAAACTTTTTAATTGGCCGAGGATCCCGGCCTCTTTCGTTCTTGTCGTCGTTCCTTGTCCTCCCCCCTCCTCTCCTCCTCCTCTGCCGGGGTCACGGATCGCTCGAAAGGGTTAACTTGCTTCCCTTAATCGTTCAATTCGCCTGGGATTATCGGCAAAGTCACCAGATTTCCACCACGCGTGGATTCCAGCAGCATTTGGAACTAAGCGTTCTGAACCACCTCTCTGAACCACGTTGATGGCCGCCCAATTTTATATATATATAGATATATATATATATATATAGATATGCTTGTTTCTCGAAAATCGGAATCGCGTGCGCCAGGTGGAGAAGTTTGATGCATGACAGTTCTGTTATTAGAGATAACACGGGTTGTATCGGGTCGTGTTAGGGTTTGCAATTACAAGCGGCCCCGATCCTCATTTGTTGGTTCGTCCGTGCCTAGTCCTTCCTTCCTGCTACCGAGTAAGGCCGAAGGGTAATTGAAGAGATCTCGACTCGTGGATTTTTGATTAGATCGTATCGCGCCGCGACGGTGGATATTCACCAGTTTTCGTATATTTTTCTTCCCTTCGATGCTTATGCTGGATTTCGAATGTTGAATACGCTTCGTCGATCGAAGGTCGTGGAAATATTATATTATTGATTCGGGAAGAGAGTGTTCAGAATGGTGAATTTGAATTAGATAATTAATGAGCTAATAGATAAATATATTTATTAATTGTTATATCTTTTTTTTACACTATTTCATTGACTTTGAACAATCTTGAAATCGTAATTCATTAATTTCATTCATATGAAATGCTCTATTAAATGGTACGTAAAAAAAAAAAAAAGAAAAAAGAAAACAAAATACGTGTTTCAATTTGTATATTGATCGAATAATACAATATTAGTGTTATAAATTTTGTTTCTGCTCCCAATTTTGAGATATAAATTAAAAGATAATATTCTGATCATTTGTTTATCGTTGAACATTTTATTATTCATATAAATAAGTATTAACACTGTT